CCCCTCGGCCGTCCCGACCCGCGGCCGGCCCTGTGGAAGGAGGAGTCCAGACAACACCCAGCGGCGGGAGTGTGACAGCCGCCCACGAGATGCTGCCGCTGGCACCATGCACCCCCACTTTCTCTGCAGGCCGGCCCCCCGCCCACACGTGTTCACAAGGCCCTGGGCAGCCGGGGCCAGCTGGGAGCCTCCCCTGGCCGCCAGACGGCGCAGGAGGCGGCGAGGCCCGCTGGGCCCGTGATGAGCCTGGGCCGCACGGTGAGTCCAGCGATTTGCCCACGAAGCGGCTCGGCGTCCCCGCAGCCAGGGCGTTCACGCGCGGACCTGCGGGGGGGCCCTGGGGCGGCCTGGCCTACCGAGTGATAGACCTGCCCCGGCCACTGTCCCGCCAGGGAGGCCCCTGAGCCGCACCTGCAGCCGCGGTGAACCCGGGCGACCTCCGCTGGGCGGAGCGCGGCGCCGGGTGTCCCTGAGTGCCACCCGCCGTGTGGCACTGGGGCTGCAGCTCAGGCCGAGGCGCCCCGAGGACTCGCGCGAGGAGGGACTCTGGCCGCCAAGGAAAGGGGAAGGGCCAGAGGGGCGAGGTTTCCCCCGAGGGCGTCCACGGGCCGGGGCCCTGACCCAGGGCGGGCAGGCCCTAGGTCCTGCGTCTGGCCCTGCGCCCACACACGTGGCCGGTCGGCCCTCCGGCCTCTGGGCGCCTTGCTTTCCTTCCGCAGGGCCCGAGCTCGCCAGACCTGTCCGGTGGGTCGGCCGGTCTCGTGTGAAAGTGTCCGCAAGTTCTAAGCGTCTCATGTTTTCACACCTGCGAAGCTGCCGGTCACGGCCACTTTCAGGAGGAGGCTGAGGGGGGGGTGGGGTGGGGTGCAGAAGGGTCACCGAGGAGGCGTGTCTGCAGGGGCCCCTGAGTGACCAGGACAGTGCCAGGGACCCGGAGCGCACAGCGGCTGGGGCTCAAACGCTGGTCTGGACCTGCTCTGCCGGTGGCCGCCTGCCCCAGGCCACAGGACAGGGCGGGAGAGGCCTGGCCCCTCGCTGCACCCCGCAGCCACGTGCAGGGCCCGAGGTCAGGGTCAGATGACATGCTTGGGAGAATGTCTGGCCTCGCCCGAGGGCGTGGAGCCCCGCCGGGATTCCAGAGCCCGCACCTGCTCACCTCCTTTCACTGTGACCCGGCACAGGTCACTGCCTCCGGGCCTCCCCTTCCTGGTCTGTGGACTGGGCCCGGTAACCGCGCACCGCTGGAGGCCCGTGCTGAGGCCTCCCCGGACAGCGCCTGGCGTGGCCAGGCTCCTACGCGGTGCTGTGCAGGGTGGCGAGGCCACCCCCGGGTCACGAGCCGGCCGCTCCCCATGGCGGAGAACCAGATCCCGTGGGAGCCCCTACCTGGCCCAGGTGCTCGGAGGCCGGGCAGGTGCCTGGGAAAGTTCGCAGGGGAATAAAGGAAACAAAGACTCCAGGTGCTCAGCGCAGGCTTTGTCTGGCCGGAGGCCCGTTTCCTGCTGGATCAGGTTGCTCGGGCTGGCCCGGCTCTGGGCCGACCCTCCTCCCTGTCCCTGTCCTGCCAGGCCCCGGTGATGCAAGACTGGCCAGCTGGGCCACGCACTTCCTTCTGGAGCCCGGCCCAGCCGAGCAGGAGGGCGGGCACTGGGCCCACCTGCTGGCCCTCCAGCTCCGGGGGTCCGCCCATTCCCCGTGGGTGGCCTTGGTGTGGAGGCCACTCCTGCGGCCGGGGTCACAGGCCAGGGCTGGGGTGCCAGCCTGGGCTGGAGCAGCTGCGGGGCCCGGGGAGGCGTCGCCCCTGCGATCTTTGCCCAGGTGCAGGGGTGGTGCTGGCGGGCAGAGAAAGCCCCCGGGACCCTTGCAGACTCCCGGGGCCGCCAGCACAGCGGGGGGGACGAACCTCAACCAGGAGGCTGGTCTCCCGTGACATGCGCGCGAGCCTGCCCGCCCGAGCCGCAGAGCCCGGCCCCGCCCTGCCCGCTGCCCCCCGCCCAGGCCAGCAGCTTTGCCACTTCCTGGAGCTGACGTGGCTGCCGCTGGGATTGACACGGAGCGGCCGGGACACAGCCCTGCCCTGCCCCCAGGAAGAGGCCGCTGCGGGGCCTCCACAGAGCCGCGGAGACACACGACAGCGAGGGCAGCCTGAGCGCCTCCCGCTGGGGGCGAGAGAGGCTGCAGACTGCCGCTGCGTGTCCCCCGGTGCCGGCCGCGCCCACCCGTGGCCGCCTCTCGCATCCACTTTTGGGATCGAAGGCGCCTTCTCCCCTCCAATTCCACCGTCTGGAAGGGGTGGTGGTGGTGCAAGCCTGTTTGTGGGGCAGGGGAGGAGGCGCCAGGGAGTGGTGGGGTGCGGGGCAAGACGAGGGGTCATCAGCCCGGAGGCCGCGTCCGGCTCGCGGCTGGGCTTCCCGCCGGCCTGCAGGCGCGGGCCGAGAGCCACCTCTCCTGCCTCTGCCGGGCCGGCCTGCCAGCCCCCGCCCCCAGGTGGTGAGCTGCGTCCACAGGAGGCCGCGTCCACGGGCGGGCGGCCCTGGCAGGCCCTGGCCACGTCAAGTGCGAGCCGGAGACCACCTGGGCACGGTGTCAGACCTGGCCTCCTGCCCTCGCGTCGCCAGCGTGCCGGACAGAGGACGTGGAGGCACTTCCCAGGAGGGCAGCGGGGCATGAGTGGCCGTCAGGGCAGGGGGAGAAGAGGCGAGGCCTGGAGGCCCGGCCAGCCCCGAGGCCCCACAACCCACGTGGGCCGCGCCGCTCGCCGCTGGGCGAGCAGGGAGAACGGGCAGCGGGCGCCAGGAGAGCTGGACGGGAGGCGGAGGCCCACCGCTGAGGGCCTCTGGGGAGCAGGGCCACCCCAGCCCAGGCCTGGGGGGCTGGGCAGCCGCCCACGCGAAGCCGCTGCCCGGCGGAGGCCCACTCTGCTGCGGTT